CTAGCATTTACTTCTTTTACAACCCCATCTATAAATATATTAAACAACCATGGTGACATTACACATCCCTGTCTAAGACCTACTTTTACCGGGAAGTAGTCTCCCTCTCTTCTACACACCCTAACCTGAGCCTCACTATCCTCATAAAAACTCTTTACAGCATTTAGTAACTTACCACCTATTCCATATACTTGCAACATCTGCCACATTCCTCCTCTATCCACTCTATCATATGCCTTTTCTAAATCCATAAATGCAATAAAAACTTGCCTACCTTTATCTAAATACTATTCACATATATGCTTCAATGTAAACACTTGATCTACACATCCCCTACCCACTCTGAAACCTCCTTGCTCATCTGCAATCCTACATTCTGTTTTACCTCTAATTCTTTCAATTATAACTCTACCGTACACTTTTCCTGGTATACTCAGTAAACTTATTCCTCTATAATTTTTACAATCTCTTTTGTCCCCCTTCCCTTTATATAATGGGACTATACATGCTCTCTGCCAATCCCTAGGTACCTTCCCCTCTTTCATACATTTATTAAACAAAAGTACCAACCACTCTAACACTATATCCCCCCCTACTTTTAACATTTCTGTCATGATCCCATCAGTTCCAGCTGCTTTACCCCCTTTCATGCTACGTAATGCCTCACGTACCTCCCCCACACTTACATTCTGCTCTTCTTCACTCCTAAAAGATGGTATACCTCCCTGACCAGTGCATGAAATTACTGCTTCTGTTTCTTCCTTAACATTTAAAAGTTCCTCAAAATATTCTCACCATCTACCTAATACCTTCATCTCCCCATCTACTAACTCCCCTACTCTGTTTTTAACTGACAAATCCATACGTTCCCTAGGCTTTCTTAACTTGTTTAACTCAGTCCAAAATTTTTTTCTTATTTTCATTAAAATTTCTTAACAGTGCCTCTCCCACTCTATCATCTGCTCTCCTTTTGCACTCTCTCACCACTCTCTTCACCTTTCTTTTACTCTCCATATACTCTGCTCTTCTTACAACACTTCTGCTTTGTAAAAACCTCTCATAAGCTAACTTTTTCTTTTTTATCACACCCTTTACTTCATCATTCCACCAATCACTCCTGCACCCACCCTCCTATAACCACAAACTTCTGCCCCACATTCTAATACTGCATTTTTAAAACTATTCAAACCCTCTTCAACCCCCCCCCCACTACTCATCTTTGCACTAGCCCACCTTTCTGCCAATAGTCGCTTATACTCACCCGAACTTCCTCCTCCCTTAGTTTATACACTTTCACCTCCCTCTTACTTGTTGTTGCCACCTTCCTCTTTTCCCATCTACCTCTTACTCTAACTGTAGCTACAACTAAATAATGATCCGATATGTCAGCTGCCCCTCTATAAACATGTACATCCTGGAGCCTACCCATCAACCTTTTATCCACCAATACATAATCTAACAAACTACTTTCATTACGTGCTACATCATACCTTGTATATTTATTTATCCTCTTTTTCATAAAATATATATTACTTATTACCAAATCTCTTTCTACACATAGCTCAATTAAAGGCTCCCCATTTACATTTACCCCTGGCACCCCAAATTTACCTACTACTCCCTCCATAACATTTTTACCCACTTTAGCATTGAAATCCCCAACCACCATTACTCTCACACTTGATTCAAAACTCCCCACGCATTCACTCAACATTTCCCAAAATCTCTCGCTCTCCTCTACACTTCTCTCTTCTCCAGGTGCATACACGCTTACTATAACCCACTTTTCACATCCAATCTTTATTTTACTCCACATAATCCTTGAATTAATACATTTATAGTCCCTCTTTTCCTGCCATAGCTTATCCTTCAACATTATTGCTACTCCTTCTTTAGCTCTAACTCTATTTGAAACCCCTGACCTAATCCCATTTATTCCTCTCCATTGAAACTCTCCCACCCCCTTCAGCTTTGTTTCACTTAAAACCAGGACATCCACCTTCTTCTCATTCATAACATCCACAATCATCTCTTTCTTATCATTTGCACAACATCCACGTACATTCAGACTTCCCACTTTGACAATTTTCTTCTTCTTATTCTTTTTAGTAATCTTTACAGGAAAAGGGGTTACTAGCCCATTGTTCCCGGCATTTTAGTTGACTTTTACAACATGCATGGCTTACGGAGGGAAGATTCTAATTCCACTTCCCCATGGACATAAAAGGAAAAGTAATAAGACCAAGAACTATTAAGATAAAATCAAAGAAAACTCAGATGAGTATGTATAAATAAATGTGTACATGTATGTGTAGTGTGACCTAAGTGTAAGTAGAAGTAGCAAGACATGCCTGTAATCTTGCATATTTATGAGACAGACAAAAGACACCAGCAATCCTACCATCATGTAAAACAATTACAGACTTTCGTTTTACACTCACTTGTCAGGACGGTAGTACGTCCCTGGGTGGTTGCTGTCTACCAACCTACTAATACTTACGAAATAATAATTCAAATTGCTTCTGCTAGTTGGCACAGCTGGTAAGCAGTAAACACGTCTACATCCCTGTGGAGTAAGTTCTCTTGTGCTTCTTTGCATTTTTTTAGTCATTTGGCCAAATTTCTTTTTTTCAACCATGGGTCCTAGTGATCTACTGCAGTTAGCCTCAAAAATACTCTGTTTTCTCGTACAGTAAGAACATGGGAAGATACTATAGCCAAGTTGGGAGAGAAAAGGCAGACACTTCTGCCGCTGCCACTGCCTCTGCCACCATATCATGGCCTATTTTATTCACCATAGAGCATATATCATGTTTCTGTGCTAATTATATTGTTTATTATGTCATACTAGATGAATTGTGATAGATAAATAAGCCGTAGAGTTGATAATAGCGTCATATTCAAGCATTTTTTCTCGTCTCTCCAGAGTGCAGAAACGAATTAATGGTTTTTCAATTAATTTAAATCAGGAAAATTAATCTGATATACAGTGGACCCTCGCCTAACGATATTAATCCGTTCATGAGAGCTCAACGTTAGGCGAAATTATCATTAGGCGAATTAATTTTCCCCATAAGAAATAATGGAAATCAAATTAATCCTTGCAAGACAACCCAAAGTATAAAAAAAAAAAATTTTTACCACATGAAATATTAATTTTAATACACACAAACTGAAGAAGAGATGTACAATACATGACACTTACCTTTATTGAAGATCTGGTGATGACTGATGGGATGGGAGGAGGGGAGAGTGTGGATGGTCTTAGTGTTTAGAAGGGGAATCCCCTTCCATTACGACTTGAGGTATCAAGCCCTTTTCCAGGGTTACTTCCCATCTTCTTTTAATGCCACTAGGACCAGCTTGAGAGTCACTGGACCTCTGTTGCACAATATATCTGTCCATAGAGGCCTGTACCTCTCGTTCCTTTATGACTTTCCTAAAGTGGTTCACAACGTTGTAAGTGTAATAGTCACCAGCACGGCTTGCAATAGCTGTGTGAGGGTGATTTTCGTCAAAAAAGGTTTGCACTTCAAGCCACATTGCACACATTTCCTTAATCTTTGAAGTAGGCAACTTCTTCAATTTCTCTCTCCCCTCCTCCGAAGCAGTTTCCTCAGGTCTGGCCTTTTGCTGTTGAAGATGATCTAGCAGCTCATCAGTGGTTAGTTCGTCATTGTCCTCCTCCATCAACTCTTCCACATCCTCCCCACTAACCTCACCAATATGAGCACTAGTTCCAGGCATTTTTTCCTGTTCACCTGGGTGTTAGTCAACTGTTGTGGGTCGCATCCTGGGAGACAAGATTAAGGACCCCAATGGAAATAAGTTAGACAGTCCTCGATGATGCACTGACTTTCTTGGGTTATCCTGGGTGGCTAACCCTCTGGGGTTAATCGTTTCTCGGTAATTGTTTCATGTTAAGCCATACCAACAACACACTCTCCACATCGTCGAGTAATACAGCTGATGGTGGTGCAGCAACAGCAACAGCTGACTGTGGTGCAGCAGCAGCTGTGGTGCAGCAACAGCTGACTGGTCAAGCAACAGCTGACGGTGGTGCAGCAGCAGCTGACTGTGGTATGATAGTATTTCTCACCCTTTTTACCACAGGGTTGGCACTAGAAGCTTTCTTGGGGCCCATGGTCACTTATTTTGCAGGTGAAATCACTAAAAACGCTGTGATAATATGAAATGTTCCGATTGTATGCTTCGATGTGACCGTGGAGGCTGGCTTGTAAACACTGCCACCCACGGAACAAGTGAGGCTGGCTCAGGCCACACGTGGACGCGTCTCGGATGAATCGCGTTGAGCGAGATTTTTAGCAGTAGGAGAGGCAAAATTTTTGCGTTAAAATGTATCGCTAGGTGGATTTAACGTTATGCGATACCATCGCTAGGCGAGGGTCCACTGTATGAGTAAATTGAGTTACGAGCTAGCTCCTGGAGCGGATTAAACTCCTAAGTCAAGGTTCCACTGTATTTAGAAAAAAAAAACTATCATTTCATAAGAATTTTTTTTTTTTTTTTTTAAATTTCTCGACCCTGAGAACAAGTCTGGGAGAGGGCCTGTCAACCCTGAAAGGGTTAAGAAACTCATGTACTGATCAGAGAAATAGATAACTGCACTCGGTAGGCGCAATACTTGCGCTAGCTGAAATTAGTGCCAGATTAGTGATGGAAGTGAATTAGTGATTGCTGGATCAGTGATGGCCAACCTGTATAATGCAATCCTTCATTGACTATGTTTTGCCCACACAGTGGGCTTTATCAAGTCACAAACAAACTTGATAAAGCCCACTGTTTGGCCAAAATGTAGTCAATAAAAGATCACATTATATTGCATTTGTGTCTAATTTTCAACCGTGTTGGTATTTTATACCATTGATCTCCATCGTGGAAAAGGGAGTCAAAAGGAAAGTCAATGAAGAGGGAAGTGGGAAGTTACAGGAAGCAGAGGAAAAACTCATACAGTCAAATTAAATGGCAAGAGAACTTACTATCAAGTTCTGGAAGATTGCAGAGCTGACCAAGAAACATATCCAGCTGTCTGGAGAAGTCTTGCAGCTCACGTTGACGCTGTTCCTCAGCTGCTTTCTTCTCAGCATACCTTCCCAGGGCTTCTTGCAAGGATTCTTCAAGTTGCTCGTAACGAATCCGTAGATGATCATCCCTGCTTAGTGTCTTCTTTGCTTCTTCAGTCTAAGACAAATAAGATTTACCATACAATTTTTCACTCTTCATCACCTACTCACAGCTAGTAAAGCACACAGTAATAGAAAGAAATGAAAGATAATAGTGGCTGTTCTCTAAACCAGTTTTATTTTATTGACAAACACACTAAATCCCACCTCATGCTGGTTTATATACAAAACCAGTCAATGGGACTTGTCAGTAAAATAAACCAGGTGACTACATGTTCAGTTAAGAACAGCATTAACATTCATTTAACCCTTTCAGGGTTTCCGACATACTAGTGCGGCTTACGCACCACGATTTTTGACGTACTAGTACGCCTAAATTCTAGCGCCCTCAAATCTAGTGAGAGAAAGCTGGTAGGCATACATATGAAAGAATGGGTCTATGTGGTCAGTGTGCACGGTATAAAAAAAATCTTGGAGCACACAATGCGTATTAAAAAAAAAAAAGACTTTGACAGTGTTTTTGGTTTAAAACAGTGACTTTGCACTGTATTTTCGTATGGTATTTATGATGGCATTTTAGTTTTCCTGGCCTCATTTTATAGAATGGAAGACATATTACAGAAATTGAGACGATTTTGATTGATTTTACAATGAAAAGCACCTTGAAATTGAGGTCAAAGTAGCAGAAATGTTCGATTTTTACCAAAGTTCAAAAGTAAACAAATCATGCCAAGCGTCCAATACACGTCAACTGGCGAGTCTAATATTCTTTCACAAGTGCGCTGATATTATTTATACCATTTCTACAATAATGCAGTAGTCTGCATAACAGTAAATCTATATTTTTGTAAGACTAAAAATTCAAAGTGGAAAGCAAAAGAAATGTAAGAGGGGCCTGGGGACATGACTAACGAACACAGAACTTCTTATTCTAGTGCCAGGAATGTCTGTCTTATTTATTATGGACCCTATTTGGAAATTCGCATCTTCTGAAATTTGTGTGAAATTGGCAAAATTGCCAATTTCTAACCACTTTGTTGGATAGTTGAAATTGGTAAATGGGTGGTTTCTTGTACTCATTTGATAGAAAAAAATGGAATTCTAGTGAAATAAGTATGATTTCTGTCAACTAGTACACAGGAAGAGGCCAAAAATAAAGCTCAAAGTGGGCGAAATCGCCGATGCGTAAACATCGTCGAGACCGCAAACTTCGTGAGAGCATAATTCCGCAAGTTTTCCATCAAATTTCATATTTTTGGTGTCATTATGATTGGGAAAAGATTCTCTATCATTTCATAAGAAAAAATAATTTTTTTTTTCCGAAAAATTTTCAACTCTGAGAACAAGTTTAGGAGACGGCCTCTCAACCCTGAAAGGGTTAAGACTGGAAAAACCATCGCCTAGTTTGATGAACCTTGATTTCTGCTGTGATTGGAAATGGTATGGTCAGAATGTGGGAGAATGGGAGATTCACAGCATTATTGTAAAACCAACAAATCTACAGCAACTGCATTATATTATCATGTCAACATGGATTAGGATGGCCCAGGAATGTTTTTAACACTGATGAATCCATGCCATGAAGAATTCAGGCTGTTCTGGGGGCAAAATGGAGGGGGGAAGAGGCCCTACCCAGTACTCAAAGGGTGTACCTAATAATGTGGCCACTGGGTGTAATTGCCAGCTGCCTCAGCAGACCATGAATTAAAAAAAATTAACAAATGTTAACAAACAAGAATGCCAGCTCACCTTATCTTGAATCAACTTCTTCAGGTTTTGTACATCTTTCTTCGTCTGCTCTCTCTTGTTATGTGCCGGTTCAAATTCTCTGCGCATCTTCTCTAAATTGCTGCAAAGTACAGCACGTTCGTCTTTGTGCTTAAGATGTACCTGATGAAATAAATTAGACATTATCATTCATGAGTTACTATTAACATTCATGAGTCAAGTTTCATGATACAGAAAACACTATTGTATATCTTTAAAGCTAAGTTTTCAAATACAGGACTTTAGTAACAGTCAAAGAATGAGGCTGGGAAGAGGGAAAAAAATAATAAAAAATTCTGTGAAATGTGCATTAGAGGAAATCTCTCCTCAAGGTTACACAAGGGCATCATCCCCTGAAAGGGTAAGTATGAAATTTGGTATATAGCAATTTTTCAAGGGTCTAGAAAATTACAATATAAAAACATATGTAAAAGAAGAAAATTAAAAGTGAATATAGAATAGAGTAAGGTGATGAGGATAACAAAAAAAATAATAGGTAGCAAAAGATTGGATATCAGATTGGAGAGAAAGAGTATGGAGATGAATGAATTCAGGTATTTGGCAGTAAACATGTCAGCAGATGGGTCTATGAAAGATGAGGTGAATCAGAGTATTGATGAGGGGAAAAAGGTGAGTGGTGCAATGAGAAGTCTGTGGAGAAAAAGGACTTTATCCATGGAAGCAAAGAGGGAAATGGATGAGAGTATAGTTATACCAACACTCTTTTATGGGTGCAAAGCATGGGTGGTGAATGATGCAACAAGGATAAGGCTGGAGGCAGTGATAAGATTTCATTCAGATTTTTAACCCCGGAGGGTTAGCCACCCAGGATAACCCATGAAAGGCAGTATGTCATCGAGGACTGTCTTATTTCCATTGGGGTTCTCAATCTTGTCCGTTTCCTAGGCTGAGCCCTTCCACGCCTTCCTTCCACTACAGATTTATACACTCTCAAAGTCATTCTTTTTATTCCATCCTCTCTACATGTCTGAACCACCTCAACAACCCCTCCTCATCCCTCTGGATAATAGTTTTGGTAATCCTGCACCTCCTCCTAATATCCAAACTATGAATTCTCTGTGTTATACTCACACCACACATTGCCCTCAGACATGACATCTCCACTGCCTCCAGCCTTCTCCTTGTTACAACATTCACCACCCATGCCTCACACCCATATGAGAGCATTGGTAAAATTGCACTCTCATACATTTCTCTCTTTGCTTCAATGGACAAAGTTCTTTGTCTACACAGACACCTCAGTGCACCACTCACCTTTTTCCCCTCGCCAATTCTATGATTCACCTAATCTTTCATACACCCATCTGCTGACACATCCACTCCTAAATACATTGTATCTGAATACTTTCACCTGGTCACAGACTGGGCCAAGGGGGCATTGATCCCCACAACCCTCTCCAAGGTATACTCCAGGTAGTGGTACCATTTTTATATGGGTGTGAGACATGAGTTTTGACCAGCAATAAAGGAAGCAGTGATAATGTCATGTTTGAGAGCAATGTGTGACATGAATATTATACAGAGAATTCATGACATACAAATTTAACCCTTTCAGGGTCCGTGCCGTAGATCTACGGCTTTACGTTCAGGGTCCAAACCGTAGATCTACGCCAAAATTCTAGCGGTGTCAAATTTAGCACCAAAAGGCTGGTAGGCCCACATGTGAGAGAACGGGTCTGCGTGGTGGGTGTGCGTAGTAAAAAAAATTTCTAGGCGCCAGCATAGCATTGTGGGAACGCCGGCTCAGTTACCCTTTTTCACCATGCCTCGTCACAAGGCAGCTCTCACTCCAAGGAAAACTGGGACTCTCCTCTTCCTGTCTGATAGTTCTGACTCTGATGGAAGTGGAAATGAAGACGAATTCTTTGGCTTTGATCAGTTAGTGACCGAAAGGAATGATCAGGATATCGATAATAGTGCAGAAAACCCTGACGATCCTCAACCTTCTACCTCTGGTGTGAGCACTCCTCAGTCACGGTCAGTTGTACCTCATCGCAAGAGAAAACTATTATTTTTGAGTGGCCAGGCCTCTGACTTCAGTAATGATGATGATAGTGACGTGAATTGTGGAATTGTGATTTTATTGCTCTTGACGATCATTCGAGCATTGACAGTGAGAAAACATATTCACTAGTGAAGCGTCGGTATATACACAGCAGCATGCGCTCGGGTAGTGTTCCCTATGCAGTGCCCAGGGGACGGAGTACATCCCGGAGTACATCCCGTGGCCCTACACCAGGAATAGGCAGTGAAAGTGAGGATGATGTGGCTACACTTGGCATGGATAGACCACAGGCATCAGTGGATGGTGTTAGTGGTGATGGTAGTGCCACGGCCATGTGTGACTCACCAGCCCACGCTGGGACCCACACTGCTGACTCCTCAGTTCAAGGAAAAAGCGGAGCGTCAGCCACCAGCCCACCACAACCACAACTACCAGCACAACCAGCCTATGATGTCCAGTATCCACCAGCAAACCATATCTGGGATTGGCAGCAAAATACCAATTTTGTTCCCAAGCTCCACCAGTTTGATGACTCTCAAAGTGGAATTCTACCAACTTGTTCCCTTGGAAATACTGCAAATGAACTGGAATTCTTTGAATTATTATTTGACCAGCCACTGATAGAAACTATTGTCAGGGAAAGTAACAAGTATTTTGAGTACACCATGGCAAATACGATGACACCACCACAGTCAAGACTACACCGGCGGAAAGAGACAGCTGTTCCAGAAATGTATTTGCTTTTTGCAACAATAATGCTTATGCCTCATGTCTAAGCATAATATAAAAGCATACTGGTCCACAGATCGGCTAATTTGTACCCCGGTCTTCAGTGAAATCATCCAAGTGAACAGGTTTATCTTACTGTTACGTATGTTGCACTTCTCTGACAAAACCAAGCCTGACAGAAGTGACAGGTTTTCAAGATTAAAAAGTTTTTTTTTTACCCTCAAAAAAAATTTAAACATTATATTTTATCCATTAAAGAATTTTGAAATTGAGGGGGGCTTTAAATTTTGTTAAAAGGGTTTATACTGTGTTCAAGCAGTTTTTTCCGAGGCAAGAGGAAATGTTTTGGGTAAAAAAACTGTTTGTACTCGGGTGACTGTGACGTGGCGGTATTGGATATTTTTTTTAAACAGGGGAAAGAAAAACATTGAAAAAATACCGGGATTTTTTTTTGGAATATCAGGTGACATTGTGAGAAGTTTATGGAAACCTTACTATGATTTTTTGCGGGGTTGAAAAGACAATGTGTGTGGCACGCACGTTTTAATCATAAACATATTCCCGGGTTTAAAACGCAGGCATTTGTGGTGGGGGGTGCAGGTTTTTTACTCCCAAATGATATCATGGCATTACGGTGGCATGACAAACGAATTTTTCACATTTTTTGAAAACCCTTTCACCCTAACAAAAATAAACCCGGGGCCCAAAAAGTTGATAAAATGACTAATGAACAAATTCAAAACCAGTGCAGTGATTGATTTTTACACAAAACATGCGCTTGGTTTACAAATGTTTATATGCAGATTGGGTTTGGGTTTATTGGTTCATAAGAGTTACAAGTGGTATATGAAACTTTTCCCCCTTTCATCTCACGGCATTTCAATGTCAAAGCATATTAAAATGTACCAAATGAAGACTGGAACAGAACCCCAGTAGGTGAATTTTGGTTTTTCTGTTGTCAGACAAATCATTAAAGAAAATACCCAAAATAACAAAAAAGCTATACAAAAACCCTCCTTGAACTCCTAGGAAAAAACCCCAAATGTTTTAGGGAAAGGGGAAGGGATCACTCATAATACAGCTTCCTGCAAATTTAAAAAAGAAATTTTTCCCCAAGAGATGGTTTCCTGTGCACAAACAAAACGACGGCAACATAGACGGGAAAGGGCACTCGGGGCTATGTTCGGGAAAGAAAGGGACCCTTTTGCATGGTGCCTTTTTTCAAAAGGGGTTCCCAAGCTCCCCCAGTTCTTAAAAACCATTCCAGTGATTGTAAATATGTTTAAAAATATGAAAAAGAACATTTTTTATTATACAAAATTTTTTTGCATGGTTTTTTGTAAAAACAACAGTGATAAAAAAATAATTTGTTTAAAAACTTTTTGTGCAGTTTTTGTGTTCCCCCAAAAGTGAGTTTATATATTAAAATTATATACAGTTTTGGCTCTTTAGGCCCCAAATGTAAAAAGAAAAAAAAAATAGAAAAAAAAAATAAAAAACTATAAAAAAAAAGTAAAAAAAGAAAGGGGGGTGGTTGCGGAAAAACATCGATGTTTGCCGGGCCCCCCGGTCATTTTGGGTCAACTTCCCGCCGCTGTATCTTGGTAAGTACCAATCAGAATTTTTCTTTGTTTTATCACCTTCACAAAAATATACTCTTTAATTTTGTAAGAATTTTTTTTTTTTTTTTTTTTGGGGGGGGGGGGAAATTTCTTGGAAACTGGGGCAGCCCTTCCAGTTTTGGCCTAGGATCCTGAAAGGGTTAAATATGGGGTCACCAAGGATATAATTCAAATGCTGAGGAGAAGTTGGTGAGGTGGTCTGGGCATGAGGAGACTGGAGAGGGATAGAATGATAAAGAAGGTGCATAAATTTTGGGGGAGAATGTAGGAGAGGTAAGGGTTGTCCCAGGAACGGTGTGAGGGACGGGGTAAAAGAGACTCTGAGTTTTAGAGGCTTGAGCATCCATCAGCTTGTGTGAGCATTAGCTAAGAATGAATGGGGGCAAGTGGTTTTTATGACTTAACATGCTGTTGGAGTGTAAGCAGGTTAACATACGTGAAGGAATTCAGTGGCACCAGTTCGCTATCAGAGGGGTAATCTTAATTATGTCAACACATTTCAGAGGGCTGAAGAGGGGTTGTTGAGGTGGTTTGGTCATTTAGAGAGAATGGATCAAAGTAGAATGACATGGAGAGCATATAAATCAGTAGAGAAAGGAAGGCAGGGTAGGGATCGTCCTTGAAAAGGTTGGAGGGAGGGGGTAAAGGTTTTGTAGGCGAGGGGCTTGAACTTCCAACAAGCGTGTGTGAGCGTGTTAGATAGGAGTGAATGGAGACAAATGGTATTTTGGGCCTGAAGAGCTGTT